CAGGTGATCAGAGTACAAGGGGCACATCTATAAACTAGGCACATAAAGATGGAGGAGCAGCTGCGAGCTGGCCTAGACTCCGGGGGGGCGGGGGGGTGGGGGGTGGGTAGAGAGCCAGCTTGCATTCCGAATGAGAGGCCACCGAAATGAAGCCAGGTTCGCAGTGGTCTCCTGGGGAAAGAGAGGCACCCCTTCACCAACTCCTGGAGCAGCTGCCGTGGCCAATGAGTTGTACAGAGACTGGACCGTACAAGACTCACAGTAGTCATTCTGTTGAGCTGTGAGGGGAATTTTTTTGTTGAGTGATGGCTCCTTAAACCAGCCAGCCATGAAAAATCCACCGCGTGAGGCCCGTGTTCATACAGGGAATGGCAGGCTGCCGGTGGAAGCTGCTCCAGATGGCATGTCTGGGTTTGGACACATGATCCCAGCAGTCATAGGCTTTCTGTCCCATAGGGATGTGTTCTGGCTTCTTGAGAAGGAGTGTGTGTGTGTGTGTGTGTGTGTTTATACTCTGTCTTCTGGCATTCCTGTTTGAAGTGGACGTCTTGGGAGAGAGGCTTGAAAAGAAGTACCTGAAAAAATGGACAACACGGTCAACTCCCACGAGGAACATACAGGTCTAACTAATGAGCTGGAATGGATTGGCAGCAGCATAAAGCTGCAATTGATTAGAACAATTGCAGAGTCTTTGTTGGTTTGATTTCTTTTTGGTCAGGCTTTCATGCTATAGCCTAAGCTGGTCTGGAACTTGCTATATAGCCCAGACTGGCCTTTAACACATCCAGTCTTCTGTCTCAGTGCTTACCCATACAAGTGATGGAATTACCGGTATGTGTTGCCACATTTGTCTTTTTATCCCTTTGAATGAGGAATATTCTAGAAAGTAGATGTGGTCCCCCAGTGTTCTCATACCGACTGGGAAGACTGTCTCTAGACCCTTGCAACAGAGATGGAGCTAGGACACACACATTTCTATACATGTATGCACACACTGAGGCATGTTCTTAGGTATCAGTATCTTTTAAACAATCAGACATCAGTGGGCTATAGAGCAAACTGTTTAGAAATCCTGAGTTCAGCCGGGCGGTGGTGGCGCACGCCTTTAATCCCAGCATTCAGGAGGCAGAGGCCAGCCTGGTCTACAGAGCGAGTTCCAGTAAAGGCGCAAAGCTACACAGAGAAACTCTGTCTCAAAAAACCAAAAGAGAAAGAAATCCTGAGTTCAGAGCTGTACCAGTTCCAATTACAGGGCACCCTCCTGAAATCTCAGCACTCACAAGTTCACTTGTCCCAACCCCTCAGTCCTTGGAGCCCCTGCAGATTCCACGGACCAGAACATCTGGTCTCTAGAGGGTTCTCTCTAGTCTTCTCCAGCCCCAGCTTCGCTGTTTTCCACTGTGAGAGCGCCCACCATCAACACTGCTCATGTCTGATCCTGCCCTATTTCTAAAGTAGTTTCAGAATCATCTCATTCACACATGAACACACGCATATACTCTCTCTCTCTCTCTCTCTCTCTCTCTCTCTCTCTCTCTCTCTCTCTCTCTCACACACACACACACACACACACACACACACACACACACACACACACACATACACACACACACACACACACACACACACACTCTCAAAACCCAGCAAACAAACCTAAGCAAACCCAGGCATTTCTGTACTCCTTCCCTTTGTTCCAGTCCTGTCCAGGAGTGACAGTTTATGAGTCCCGTCTGTTACCTCTGTCCTCTTTCAGGATGGTTATGGTATTCGTTTACAGTACAATCAGACTTGTTTTTATTTACTTTTAATGTGGGGGCTTTTTTGCTTCATTCTATACTTGATTTTTAAAATTCTATAGTGTAAAAAAACATTTAGTTCCAAAAGTCAAAACTGTACAAAACGATATATGTAGGAGAAACACTCCATCCTTTGTTACTTTTGCCCCACTCATCCCTGTCCATTGTTTCTTCTTCTTCTTCTTTTTCTTCTTCTTCTTCTTCTTCTTCTTCTTCTTCTTTTTTCTTTGAGACAGGGTTTCTCTGTGTAGCTTTGTGCCTTTCCTGGAACTCACTTTGTAACCCAGGCTGGCCTCGAACCTCAAACTCACAGAGATCCTTTGCCTCCTGAGTGCTGGGATTAAAGGCGTGCACCACCACCGCCCGGCGTTTCTTCTTTTTTTAAGTGTGTGTTGAAGAAGGGGCAGGGAAGGGGCTTCTGTGCCTCTTTACATAGGCAGGTGCCGTGTGTGTGTGCACACAAGGGCCAGAGGTCAATGTCAGTTGCCCCCTCTGTAAATCTCCACCTTAATTTTCTGCGACAGAGTCTCTTGCTGGGCCCGGAGCTTGCATTTTGGCTAGACTGGCTGCTTAGTGAATGCCTAGGATCCGTTTGTCTCTGTGACTCCAGCACTGGGGTTAGAGGCACGCAGTCACACCTGCTTTCCCCCTCCGGTGCCTGGCATCCAAACTCAGGTCCTCATGCAAGCACTTGACCTGTGGAGTCATTCCTCAGATGTCTCCAACCTTATCTTCTGTTCTTTCAGATCCATCATATGGAAACATGTCTGTTTCCCTATTTTTCTCTCTTTTATGTGCAAAGGACAATGTATTAGGTGTGTATTTTTGTACAGACACTTACATTTTCTCTTGGTCACCCACACTGCAAAATTCCAGACCCAGACAAGTAGGCTCCTAGAATGTAATTGTTTTCAGATTTTCTGGTCACTTGCAAAAATCTTATCATTTCTACCAGTAACTTCATTCAAATAAGCTTTTGCCATAGTGATTATTATTTAACCTTATAGTAATGAGCACCTTAGAAGAGGATGAAATTCTATTAAAAATGGAGTAATCTTTTTCGTCGTCCACTGAGGCTGATAGCAGATGCAGTGGTCCGAAGGTGAGGCCTTGTGGGACAGGAGGCTGTGGTGGTAGAAGCGTTCCTTTCCTGTGAATACAGTGGTGCAGGCATTGGCAAAGTGGTTTACAATGCCTGCCTAACTGTATCCCACCGAGATGGGCAAGAGACATGGGAGGGATTTTTTTTTTCCCCCGAGACAGGGTTTCTCTGTGGTGTTTTGGAGCCTGTCCTAGATCTCGCTTTGTAGGCCAGGCTGGCCTCGAACTCACAGAGATCCACCTGGCTCTGCCTCCCGAGTGCTGGGATTAAAGGCGCCACCACCGTCCGGCATGAGATTGATTTTTATAGTTCTAGTGTAAACCAGTCAATGTGATGTTAAAGTGAAATTTCACTTTCTCATATTCTTAGCTGCACAGGGAAACATTTTACTGACTTCTATCATTGTTTTTGGAAAGCTCAGATCATGTATGAATCCAGAATAAGAACTTAGTATGTAATAATCTACATTTAGTGTGCTAAGACCATAACATGACAGATGTCTGTAATAAAAATGGTAACATAAATAATAGAATTGAAGGCCCATTTGATCTTCATGGGTTTTTAAGAAAGAGTTACCTCACGCTGCTTCCTGTGGGTACATTTCACACAGGTCTTTTGGGCCTTCTTCAAAGATGTGGCTCTGGATGGAATGGGACTCTTGGAGTTGAGCACACCTTAGCGGATGTCCGCAGCTGAGCTGTGCATTGCTTATGCTTTGGGACACTCTGGTGGACTAGAAACCTCATCTGTTCTCTGCATCTTGTTGTGTGAGCAGCAGGAGGCAGCCCTCCTCCACGTTCCCTTTGAGACCGGAAGGCATTATCCCCAGGAGTGCTTTGGCTGGAGGGCAAAGCACAGGTCTCGCACACCCTCCGACCCCTCCCCCACCACGTCCAGGGCACTGCACCTGGAACAACTCCCACAGCCTCGTCAGAGGACAAAATGGAGATGGAACAGCCCACTAGGGCCAAGGTTGAGTCCTAGGGTCTCAGTGGTGAGAAGAATCGGACAGTGAGTGGGAGCCTTCCTTGACAGCAGAGAGAAACCCCTGAGCAAAGATTCCAGTTTCGCTGGCTGCCTAGGTGCCCATGCAGCTCCCCAAAGGCCTGGAGTCGAGGGAGGGCCATGAGGAGAGAGTAGGGAGCTGCCTTGATGAAAGCAGGTCATCTCCCTTTTGCCAGAGTTAGTGAGGTCATAAAAGGGAGCTGCGCCGACTTGGAACTGGCTAGCAGGTGGGTGGAAGAGGGCAGTCGCTGGGTCAAAGTGCTCGGTCTGTGTGCAGAAGCCTCTCTGTCCATAACCTCGCCCACTTGCTAACAGCTTTAACGTGTGCCCCAGACCTATACGTCACCTATCTTGGCTCCTGCTAACGGCTGGAAGTACAGATGATTCCTTGTATATAAAAACTTGCCTGCACAGGTGTGGGATTTTGTGTTTGAGCATAGGTACAGGGTTATATAGCATTGCAGTCACGGGAGGCGGAGAAAACAGCAAACACTTGGGGACCCTTGTGCATCTGCCGAAACCTGTCCAGGGCAGGTGTTCCTGTACATGGGCAGCAGGTTGCTCTACCTCTCCACCTCCTATGGGGCAGTCTGGGAGAGATCATGGCCAGAGGCAAAGGTTAAGACAAACAGGAGTACAGTACTCCAGTACTGCCCGGGAGGGGAGACCTGGCTTGTAAGATAGCTCCGTTGGATCCCTGCCCACTGCTCTGGGTGCTGTCTGTGACCTGAGCTGGATCACGTGGCACCCTTCTTCATGAAGTGGGTGGCCAGGTATCAAAGTGGGTGGAAAGAGTAAAAGGGCCACTATGACGGCCCAGGATGTCTTGAGTCCGGGCTCCCTTATAGCGCCGTCCTGAAGGGAATGTACTTCCTCATAAACCGTGCATGTGTGTCGGTGTGGTCTTCGCCACTCTGGCGCCCACCGTTGTGCTTAGGGGGACACTGTCTTCTGTCCTGTGCACGTGTGTGGCTCCACTGCTGTGCTCTTGTGAGTGTGTCCTGCTGTAAGACCGCTGCCACAGCAGGGCAGATGGCTCGTGGTGCAGGTCCCCAGGGATGCTCTGACCGGTGCTCTGTTCTCTCTGCGTCTCTCAGAGAATTCTCCAAGGAAAGAGAGAAGGCTAAAGCGCGGGGAGATTTCCAGAAGCTTCGAGAGAAGCAGCAGCTGGAAGAGGATCTCAAGGGCTACTTGGATTGGATCACCCAAGCAGAAGACATAGATCCTGAGAACGAAGAGGAGGGTGGAGAGGAAGGCAAACGAAACAGTAGGTGTTGCTACTCTAACCAGACAGGCCTGCTGTGTACTGAGATGCTGCAGTGTGCCCCCATCCAAACCCTGTGCCTTTATCCCTGGGCTGTGAGTAAAACACACCCTCCCAGCGTCCCCCTCTCCCTCTTCCTGTCCACATCACAGAGAGGCTAGTGTATCTGTGCACATTCTGCGTCTCCACCTGAGGCACGGATGGGGTTTAGGTTCATATGACGATGGCTTTCGAGTTGAGGAGAACAGCCATTTGCATTGTGGACCTTGGGAACTCTGAACCCATGTCTGTGTGGATAGATGGTCGAGGGAGACACATCTCAGCTCAGAGCTACAGGGGAGGCCTGTGCTTTTCCTCACCTCAGTGCATAGTTCACCTGCACAAGGATTTGAGGAGCAGGCTCCTTCTACCTCCGCTGTGTGAAATGGCCCCCTCCAGTGTTCTCTGCACCAAGCCAACTACTTAGGCCATCAGGGCTGGGAAGAAACCAGCTGATTGTGCTAGGCAGTTGTTAAGAGGCCATGAGTAAGTCAGTGCTGGCTGCTTTGCAGCCCACCTGCCTGGGCTCCACGCTGTGACACTAGGTGCCCTTGAGTGCTTTCAGTGGGAGGCCAGGCCTGATAATCAGTCAACCACTGGAATTAATTGCTTTTGTCCATCACAGTGTCTCTCTTAACACATACTTTCCCTACAGATGTGCTCTTAGTCATCCTGGGAGCATTTGGACCTTAGAAAGGGTAGAAATTGAAATCCAACAGTGCATTTAACTACGATGTTTCTGCTTTGTTTCCATTCTGGAATGGTTGATAGTAAAGATCAAGAACACGTTTGGAGAACGATGTCCAGTGAGAAGCCTGGGAAGCCAAGACTGGTCCTTCTATGTAGAATTTGTGTTGGTTGAGTAAGCTCTTGTTGAGCAGAACCCTTTGGGGTCATGGTCAGTTCCTTTTTAGACCCATTCACAAATGCCCTTCAGGTCACACAGTGGTACCTCAGGAGCTAGGATGAAGATCTAGTACAGATGGGGCCACATGGCATGGCCTGGCAGGTTGGTGTTTAAGGTAGAGCAGTTGAGTGGCAGGAGAAGGCTTTTGACCTAGGACTAGCATGGGGTGGGCAAAGACCATACGAAGTAGAGGGACTCAACCAAGATAGCCATGATGTTCCTTCTATTTTGAGACTCTAATCTGAGCTGTCACAGGGGTGAGGAGTGTTTTGTGTTGTCATGGGTCTTTGCATGTAGAATCGGTGTGCTGATGAGGACTCTAACCTCTGGCCTTGCCCTGCTCAATGCATCAGAGCTTCAGGGCCTGAGGATGAGGAGACTGTTCCCAGAACTCAGTGCGAGATTTTCTGGGCCAAGGTGGGTTGTCTGTGTCTCTCACAGGAGATCAGGGTTGATGAATTGGCACTTGTTTGATTTTTGCATTTGCTGATGTGTGTGCTAGGTACTTAATCAGAAGAGTATAGATAGGCACAGCTTTCCCAGGGAACTAGCTCCCCCGAACCCCTAAGGCTTCCACAGCTTTACTGTGGCTGACCACACTGTAGACCTAGCTGCAGGTGCCTGCCTTAGACTTCTTTCTGTTGCTATGATAAAACACCATGACCAAAAGCAACTTGGGGGGGAAAAGGATATATTTCTTCTTACTGTGTATAGTCCATCACAGAGGGACGTCAGGGCAGGAACTTAAAGTAGGAACCTAGAGGCAGGAACTGAAGCAAAGGACATGGAGGAACACTGATGGCTAGTTTGTTCCTCCTGGCTTACTCAGTTTCTGATATACCCCAGGACCACCTGTCCAGGGATGGTACTGTCCATTGTGGGCTAGACCCTTGCTATCAACGGTCAATCAAGAAAATGCCCCCACAGACTCGCCCCCAGGGCAGACTGATGGAGGCAATGCCTCACCTGAGGCTTTCTCTTTCCAGACGGCTCTAGCTCAGGTCAAGTTGACTAAAACTAACAGGCGCAGAGCCTGTCCAGACTTTCCTTCATTTGCAGCGCTGACCTGTGGAAGCCCACCTCCATCTGCGTCACCCTCCTAAGCTCAAACACAGCGTGTTGTGTATAACGAGAAGAAGTACCGTCTCCTCTAATGAGGCAAGCGCCTTCTTTGCTGCTTGAAATGTGTCACGTATGCCCTGGGCTTGCCGTATCCTTAATCCACATCTACAGATAAACAGTGATCCAGCTTCTTGGGTTGCTGCGGTCTGTTGTGGTAGAGGATTTTATTTTCATTTTTTTTTTAAGGACCTGTGCTGTGAAACATGGATTTTCTTGGATGTGACGTCTTCTGACGGTCCTAAAGGGATCACTGTTCTATGTGAGGTTGGCATCTCCTGTGTCCTGCCACTTTCTGTAAAGAACCCGACTCTGAGATGACCAATCTATGAAGCCTCTGCCTTTCAGAGGGGTTGCCATGGAGAAAAGGAGAAGGCAGTGGCTTATATAGGGCAGAATGCAGAAGCTGTCGTTGTAATGAAAGTCCACCAGTCTACTCTTAGAGCCCAGAATGTCCCAGTGATGCTGGAGTGGAAGAGGCAGCATCCTTGCTGGGCTCTGAGAGAGGAACATCCCATGGCTACAAAAGGTAGGGTAGAGAGGAGTCAGTATGAAGACATGGCACGGAAAAGAAGCGGAAAGAAACAAATGGTCAGAGTACTTAGTGCATTATTTAGAAATATTGTCATGAAAAGAAACAAAACCCTCTCTGTGACTCAGACCTTCAGAATCCACCTAGTAAGGAACTCATGAGCCCATAAGGCTGTGCTGCATCTTCTGGGTGTACGCGTGGCTTCTCCGGTGTGCAGGGACAAGCGACTTACAGTTGGATTGGAAAGAGGTAGTCCCTTGTTCTTTAGCCAGGGGCTGGAGTTTACTGTGGCGTGAGGCCCTTGGTGCTCCTGGGGTCATCACATTGCCAGAGCCTCAGTGATTAGAGCTTTAAATAAAGGAATCAACCCTAGGCTGTGAGAACCATGGTGAGAGTCACATGACTTGGGAGGAGAGCCCCCAAGTCTCCTCCTGGTGAGGGTGAAGGGAGTCTCCCTGAACCTTCTGGAGAAGCTCTTCCGATAAGCTTCACGTGGCATTGCCATGGCTGCCAGCTGCTTTCTTTCTGTTACGGCCAGAAAACCAACCACGGGGCGGGAAAAGGATTTCAGTCAGGCTCATGTGTCCCTGACTGCCAAACAGGGGTGGCCCTGCCACCTGCAGGTGCCAGGCCTGGGACTGTCCCTGTGCATCTGATTAGCAGGTGGAGAAGTGGAGGTGCTGTGGTCTCACTGTGGTGTCAGCATTGTCCCTGGGTGTCTGAGATTCCCCTCACCTTGTGTTTCACACTCAGCCCTGCTCCTAGAACGTCTCTCGGGGAGGGGACAGTGCAGTGCCAGAATCCTGACTTTATCCTGCTGGGTTCGGATGTCGATCTGACTGGCTACTGTCTCCAGCTGGATCTCCCATGCAAACTGGCAGTTTCCTCCGGAGATGCTGAGGGGCTGAGGATATGAAAAGAAGTCCTCCCTGGTGGCTGAGCACTAGCTTAGATGAACACGGACTGAGGCTCATCCCTTCCTGGGTGTCGTGGTCAGTGCCGGGGTGGGAAGTCCTGCAGCTCTAGCAGTTCTTGCCGCCCTCTGACTCTGGCAGAACTTGGCCTGTGTAGCGGGTTTCTGAAGATTCTCCCACATCTCCAGCCAATCTCAGACTGAGGACCTCTTTCAGGATCCTCGATGGAGACTTTTGTTCAGAAACTGTAAAGTTCTCCGGAGGGATGGCAGCCAAACCTCCCACCCCTGTGCTGCCTGAGATTCAAGGCACTGCTGCTTTCTGGCTCAGGAGGTCCATTTCTGGTTTCTCGGGCCTGCTGTCAGGGATCAGGTGTGAAGTCAAGCACTTGGGGAAGCCTTGCATCATCTGTCCTCAGATCTACACGTGGCATGGCTGAGTGGGCGGAGTCTCGACACCGGACCCTGACTGTACCTTACAATACACCTAAGGATGTCCTGACTGGCTCTCGCTCCCTGGCTCAGAGGCTCTGGTTCTTTAAGCCAATGGCAGGGGACCTCTCTTTGTTTGCTCCTGGGAGAGAGTCACAGGGAGCTCCAGTCAGGAACCTCTGAGTCTTGAGCTGTGTCAGTGACTGAATCTCCCACTGGTCTGAGAATCCTCTGGAGGGCTGTGGAGGGCTGGTCTCTCACCCAGCTGTCCCGTGCTGGTGACAGGGGAGCCTCCCGTGAGCATCCTTGAACTATTTAAGATATTATCAGTGGAGATTCACTGTTAGAAAGCTGCTGGGCCACAATTAATTGAATAGATAAAATTATCTCAGAAGTTAGTCCCTAAGCATTTGGGGAAATTTCAAGGATAATTTATTTAATTTTTTGCTGAGCTTCAAATCTTTAAGAAACTCTGCCAAGTCCGTGTGTGTGTGTGTGTGTGTGTGTGTGTGTGTGTGTGTGTGTGTGTGTGTGTGATGTGATTTTTTTTTTTGGACATGTGCAGCTGCTTCTTCATGAACAATGGTGTTATTCTAGGGCTATTAAAATCTGGAAGCCTAAAGTTCTATTTTAATCTCTTCTCATTGTCAGTGATTAGTTTAAAAAAAAAACATTAAAAATAAAGAAACCATTTTAAAGGGAGCTCATTCTAAAATTCTGACCAAATGAAAGAGGGCAGCCTCCTTGTGAGGACTCTTAGGGACCAGTAATCCCTCTAAGTAGTGATAATTGCTGCCCAAAGAAAGAAGGAGGGGTACCTGAAGCCCCATCACCTCACTGCCTTGTTCTCCCTCAGTGGTCCCAGAGTGGTGGCCACCGCCCCACTGCCTCTCACCGTTTCTCCCCTGGACCTTAGTACACAAGGTCACCTGGCTGCCTTTAGCCTGTGCTACCTGATTTATTTATTTTCCTGAATTGTTTGTTTCAAAGGTCAGCAGAGCGTAAGGGGTGGCATGCCTGTTTGCAAATAAAAGTCGTGGTGCTTTGTTGACCTGATTTTG